CGTCCACTGTGCACGAGTCTTGGGGGCAGTGTGGGTTTCTGGTTAAAGAGTGTCTGTACAGGACCTCTCTCATCACGAGTCTTTTGTGGACTCCCAGCCAACCGAGGTCTTTCAGCTTGTTGTCCATTTCCATTGGCTGTGTCCTTTCCCAGATTTCTCTGGTATCCCCCAGCGTCTCTCCAGCAACCAGTCCCTCCCTCACTTCCTTGTACGGAGATCTGTGGTTGTTTCTGGCTCCACCTGACAGCGTGAGTGTCGGGTCCCGGTCGTTTCTCTGCCTTCGGTCCGGTGTTTGACAATGGGATCAGGTGGCACATCGGCATTGAGAACCACAGCCTGACAAAGTATTGGAACTTTTGTCCGACCGGGCTCTGTAGCGCCTGGCAGAGGTTGCGGAAGAAGATGCAGTCCAGCTTCAGGAGAATTGGGGTACGTCTCCCCCTCCACTCTCCACCGCCTGGCTCATCCCGTTCCTGGTGATGTGTTCGTTCCTCCCACCCCAGACAAAGTTGGACACCATTCCCTCCGTTTTCCGCCCTCAGTCCAAAGACATACCGCTAGGTTAATTGCCTTCTGGGAAAATTGTGCCTGGCTTGTGTATGTGTGTGTGTTTGCGTCTCTGTCAGCCCTGTGGTGTGTATCCTGGCCTCGCACCCACTGCTTGCCAGGATAGACTCCGGCTCCCCTGGATCCACCATGAAATGGATAAAGACGGACAGATAATGTTACAGAATCCATTTTTTGTTGGAAAATCCAACAAAAAATAAATTTTCCATTAACATTAAATCCTGTATATCATTGCACGTATGATAGTAAAGTATGTCAAGAAGGTGCTTGATATATGCAAGGTTTAAGTAATGCCATCAGCAAAGCAAATACTGTAGGTTGTAAGCTCAGGTGTTTATTTCGATCGACGCGCAGGCTTCAATCCGTTTCAGATTGTTCCGGGCTTCGTGGTATCCATGGAGACCAGAAATCAGCACCAAGATGAGCCAGCGAGCCTCCGACAGCCCTCCTGCACGCACACAGAGCCAGACTCGGCGACTCGTGCGGGCACACTCGTCCCCCTGCACATAAACAACGGGACAGTGCAGACGTGCCAGCGCGCACCAGGGCACGCCCACCCACATGCTGCCACACTGCCCCAGGCGAGCCGCCACTCGCCTCCGCGAGATCCCGCACGTGAACGCACACAAACACAGGGCGAGCAGAGGGGGCCGCCATGAGCCTTTCTTGGGAAACTCAGTTCCTCACGGGGGGCTCTGACAGCGCAGGGGGGGCGGGAGAACGAGCCCTTCAAAGCCTAATTTTAGTTTCTGACGGCTTTGGATAGGGAGGCACCCATGGTCGTGGCACCACCTCTGCATATCAGGATGAATCGCAACCCCACTAATGTTCTGGGTTTGTGTTTATTTGGTTATTTTTGTCGAAGGATCTCTGTTGGTTTCCGGAAGCCCTTTCATATATCTCACCACAGTCCTCCTTGTGGTGGAACAAGCCTATAAAGAAATGAAAATGCTGGTCTTTGCTTTGCTTTTGAAGTTTCCCTCTTGCAGAAGCTGATGCAATAATTATAGGAAGTGCTTGATTTTTTCGGCCTGTTTTCACACCATCCAGCAGGGTGTGTGTTAAGAATATTTTTGTGTGCGCTTCATTGTGCACTGAGAGCGAGTCGCAGTGGTTTTCCACTTGCAGTCGGCTTGCTGTCTGTGTCAGCCCTTTGTGGTCCCCGACCCTATTAATTACTGCCCCATCTCTCGCTGGAGCCTGACTGAATTAAGCTTTAATGTAATAATCTTACAGTAAGACCACTTTAAGCTGGAGATGTCTGCACAGCTCAGATCTCTACTTAGACATTATTAAATTAAGTACGTTTAGCATTCGATGTGATAGTGTAAGTGTGCACTGCAGAGAAAAGAGATGGGCTTTGGATTTTCTTTCCAGTGCGGGTCTCTCCTATCTTTTTCAGCAGTTAATGAAGCCCCTTGTTTCCAACAGACCTCAGCAGGCTCCTCTGTGATAACAAATAGCAATTTGTTTTTTTCTTTAAGAATGGTTCTCTTTATGCCCTGTTTGCAAGCTGCATTCACAAAGTGCCTGTTTGCACTGCATCACTTTTGTGAATCATGGATATAAATGACTGTCCTCTGATACCACCATGCTCCAACTACCTTTACTCAAATGGCAAAGGCTGGCAGAGTCTATTTCCAGGCAACTTTGACAGGAGGCCAAAACAAGGCCGAAAACAGGTATTGCAACAAGAAGGAAAAGTCAGTCACTCCCTGACACTGTCCTCTTCCTAAAGTATAGATGTGTAGAATATTACCCAGTCCTTGCTGAAAAACAGCTAACAAGAGACCTCCTGAAGTTTTGACTGATACAACTGCAATAATACACCAGTACTTGATTTAAGCTCATTAGGCCCTGGACTTATCCCTGTTTGAACAGCATAAAGCAGACTGTGAGTTTGTGATTTTCGGATGTCATGACTAATCCATGCGATGATGTCATGAAATACCTTTTCTGGACTGATCATGACAACAGATTTGTGAAAAACACTCAGTGATCCTTAATGTTCACATTCTTGTTAAGTCCTTGGCCGCACATCCAAACGACATGACCTTGGTGAGCACACTGCCTCCTGGCTCCTGACTGAAGCATGGTCAACCACTGCTTCCTGCAGCAGTCTGTTGATCTGTCCCATCCCTAGCTCTCTCAGAACATCTAGCCTCTGAGATCCAAGACTAAAGGTGGAGCTCTTGCTGACTGTGCCTCAGAGCCAATATTGCAATCTTTTTCTGTTAGCAATGCACTTTGTTCATCATGTCCTATCTGGCATTTGGAGAAGATGCATTACCCAGAAAAGTGTAAAATTGTGAAAAACCATCAGAAAAAAAATAATTTAAAAGTGTGTTTCATCAGCAGTGAGACCTAGAAGTATGCATATTCTGTTTAAGTCAAGACATTAATTCACAAGTATTCAAAAGTCCCCAAGTTGAAAAACATAAAAAGCTGCAGTAGTAATCCTACTGGGCATGAGTTTCGCAGGTACCACAGTATCGCAAGTTCAGACATTGGGTGTCTGCGCTTGGCTAAGGATCCAGTGCTGTGTGGCTCCCATCTGTGGGATTATAATTAAACGCCTATAACTCAGAATCCCCCCTAGAAGGTCAATGTTAAATCGCTGGACTTTTCTCACACATTAAACCTGTGAATTAGTCTGTGTAAGGATCTCACCGTGAAAAGGTCGAGCTGTGATATAAAAAGCAGCTCTCAGCTTCTTGTCAGCTCCTGTGGATCATCCTGTCTGTTAGGACTGTGTGCAGACTGTGATGTATTGTGGAAAACAGTATGGAGATCCAGCATCACGCACTGTGCTTCAGAGGCAAAATGCCTCAACACCTATAACTATTATTCTCTGGCACTAATGTGCTGTGATACATTAAAAGTGCTGGACAAGGTTTTTTCTTAAAGAAAGCAGACAACGTTTGAGATACCAAACCTCAAATGCACAGCTGCTTACTGTAGATCCTTTCAGTATTTTACTAAAAGGCTTTCAGTTGCCACATCTGTCAGCAAGGAGGACTGTAGGTCAGCACATGGACGTCTTTCTGGCACAGCTGGGAGCTCTCAAACTGCCCTTCACAGGGCGTCTCGTGTAAGGAAGACTCTTTAACTGATTAAGCTCACTATTTAGACTTCTTTTTGCGAGGTAGACTCGTACTTCTAAAAAAACACGGCGTGCAGGGTGAGGGGATTGACTGATGCAGCAAACTGATTTTAGGATATACGGATGAAAGCCGAGTCAGGGTGATGACGGGTGTAAGCAGCTCTCAGCAGAGCTGACAGGTGTGAATTACTTGAGTTTTGTCAGTATCAGCTGACACTTTTGTCTTTTTAAAAGTAATGGATTTTTTTTTTTTTAAAACAAAGTCACAGTACTGGTAGAATGGAAGCCTGGACAGACGGGAGAGGTTCAAGCCCGGATTTGACTATCGTATTCGATTCCCATCCTTACTATTCCCGTTGTCCTGTCTTTGTGCAGCTGCTCCTGTAGGTGTTCAATGGCCAACTAAAAACACATCATCGTCTTGTTAATTTCCTAGTGCTGCCAGGGTGGGATTGATACTGCAGGGCTGACATTTTATCACTCAGCTTGAGGGAGTCTTGAAATTAATTTCAAAAGAGAGACATGTTTACAATTTACAATTAGATCAAATCTCATCTCCAGCATATCATAACGTGCTAAGGAGAAACAGGATATGAACACAACCAGGAGAACCGGAGTGTCAGAATGGCTACATACTATGTTTATTTTTTCAATTGTCCATTCAGGACTCTTGACAACGAAATACATCTCCTACATAATAAGAATAGTTGCAGACATTTTAAAGTGTGGTTGATTATTTTAAATAGCATTTGCATTGCGTTTTATTGGATTTGATGTCATTCCTCTCTTCCAAAAGAAAAACTGAATCAGTTGCCAGACATTTTCCTTGAAGAACCTGCTCTTTGATGACCTGATTGTGCTTTCTGTACAATTGTATTTCGCTGCTTTTATTGCACGGGTTTTTGAAAATGCTTTAGAGATGATGCTTGCCATCAAAAAGTGCCAACAAGACCATTTTGGTTGATTGACTGCAGTTGACCTTTGCGACATCAAAGTTTATCATGCTAAAATGTTGTGATGTCTTTCGCTGACAGTGTAAGTGTGTGAAATTGACCAGTTTCGTGCTCTGTTTTCATAGCAGGTGTACCTATACGCCATTTGAATGACAGCACAACATAACATCCTGAGGTCCAGCAGCTGCATATTTGGAAGAGAAATATCCTATCAAAGTCCTTTCTGTTCAGTCTGTGCTATAGATAATTGTGAAACTTCACAGTTCTCTTGAAATCCACACCAATCAAAGCACATGTATACCAAGGAAAACTCTGGCCCACCGACAGAGGATGAAGAATGAGCTGAGTAATGTTTTATGTCTGATCCTCTTTTGCAGGCTGATTGCTCAGATACACGATGAGCTGCTGTTTGAAGTGGAAGACTCTCAAGTTGAAGAGTTTGCAGGTGCGCTGCTACTGTATATGGAGCTTCCTTTCAGAAGGAAATCTGCTGTGACTATGCAGATTTCTCCTGTAATTATTCCTGAAACGAAGACTGCTGTTATCCCCAGAATCTTTCGAATTGTTCTTTCTGCGTTGATGTAATATATGTACAAACAGGGATCATGCTGTTGAGACTTGACCATGTGAATTGCTCACCTGGCATTTATCTTAAAACATGGTACAGGGTGCATCTAAAACTCCAACCTAGCAGGGAAATGCTTATTTTTGTAATCAGTTTTTATTGATACTTTGAGAGTTGACGCCTCTAATTTCCTTTAGTTCTTTTTACATTTCCTTCTTAACGAAGCTTCCTGACAGAAAGCACAGTTCCACTTTTCAATGATTGGTGTAGGATTGACTGGTTGGTCTAGGTTTCTGTGGTGCGGCATCTGGAAGATCTTCCTAAATGATCTGATTAAGAAAAGAAGTTGCTAAAACCTGTTCAACAATATTTCACTCTCTCTTTGCTTAGTTTAGAACAGACAATCCTCCATAGACACATTGTTAATATCTGTTTCAATTGTTTTTAAAAATTTTGATCATTTCCAGGAAATCTTTTTCAACTCTTTTGACCTGTAAAATAAAACCTGAATTTAAACACAGTGCTATCATGATTAATTCCAGACGCATTTAAAAAAAAAAAGCAATCTAATGTAATTTTAGCTTTTTTTCCCTCAATCCTGATTTCAGTTTTACAGAACCACAGTTCAGCAGCAAACATCCATCCATCCATTTTCTAACCACTTTATCCAGTACAGGGTGTCAGGGGAGCCGGAGCCTATCCCTGCAATCAAGGGGAGAAAGGCGGGACATCAGTAATACCTCCATTAATCTTGCTGTCATATTTAAATCCTCAGTTTGCATTGGGCAAAGCTAATTAAGTGCACATGTAAGGAAGAGAAATGGATAGCTGTGAGTCTGGGGTAAAAAGGCAAAGAGGATAAAAGCTGATAAGAAAACAGCCAGTGGCCATGAAAACATCAGCACCCAGACCCTGGAGAATTCAGTTCAAAAGAAAATAAGAACCAAATAAGCTGGACCGTTGTAAGAAAGGCAGGCGTTCTTTATGTACTCATCCACCTGAAACTTTTTGATGTGCATGCTAATATACTGTGTATGGTAATACACACTGCTGCTGCATTTACTTTCTGTACTAATTATTTCTGAGTTACTCACGTGTTTTTCACCCCTTTCATTATAAGCAAACGGCTGCCGCAGTATCACCTGCACCTTGTGTCACACTGATAATCCCCACCAGTGTCTCACATTCCTGCACACAGAGTCTTTTTAGACATTATTGTGGATGGAGGGCAACATCGAACCTGACTGCACCCCTGAGGCTTCAGCATTTTGGGTCTGCTTGATGGACAGTGGGCCCTGTTCCATATTTCCACTGGGGGTGGCTACCACAGCCAATGTTTAGCTCAGGTTTGACCCTTCAATGCACCCCATTTATTCACATTTCAAAACAATCTGATAAATATACCTTGATTGTTTCTTTGTTCTGATACATTAAAAACACACTTCAGTTCAGTGGGCTTTATGGGCATGACAGATGAATTAGGATTATTCCATAACTGTCCTGCCTAATTCCAAGAATTGAGAATCGGGTCTACGGATGCACTGCGTTAAGTGGTGCTGGGAGAGCCTTGTGTTCTGGGGAGGAAGGGTGCTGGGAGACTGTACGTCACTCATAACAGTCCCTCCTTCACTCGCTCTGATTCCGCGCAGGTCACTGCTCAACAGCTGCAGGAGCTGGAGCAGCACGTGACCCCCAAACACCTACAATCAGATAAAAATGAAATCTAGTGTAAGCACAGACACTATCATCCAAGATGATCTTATGATTCCTAATGTCCTTGGACACAAACCTCTCAAGGTCCCTCTCAAAAGAGCATGAAACCTTTTTTTTCCCCCCACACAACAGAGATCTAATGTCTCTCTTGACGTTATGCCTTCTGAATGTCCCTCATGCCCTGAAGATATTGCACACTCGCAGCTTTCTGACATGGGCAGAGGTGTTTCTCTGAAAACACTTGTAGATTAATGGCTGTTAGGATATCCCATGACAAGGGTTGTACATGCAGATGCACCTGGTTTACAAGGTCAAAAGTTATGATGTTCTTGTTTCTGTGTTTGTTACCTGTCTTTCTTTCTTTGCTGCAGGAGTTGTACAAACCACTATGGAGTCCTTGCAGCACATTGATTGTTTTGGAGTACATCTGAAGGTATGGCATCATGTTTACTGATCTGCTGGTTATATGATCATATACAAAATTCTCTAGCAATCATGCAGTTACATCATGGGTGTTTTAAACGCTTTTCAGCCTGCTGGGACGTAAAAGTCATGTCACAGGACACTGGGTTGCAGAATCCAGACGGGGACGGGACAGAGTCAGTCATCTCGGGCGTTAGTCGGGAATTGTGTGGCAGTAAAAACTTGAAGCCCTGCCACATCCAATGCAGAGATGCGTACTCTGCAAAGTTTCCATTTACATGAATGAAAGAACCAAAAATAAATGTTTTAATTGAACTCTTGAATCATTGTTTGTAACTGAAGCATTATCTCATGTATCCCACTTGCCATCCTTTAAAACTGAAACTTCGAAACCTTTTTGAAGGAATCCAGTTTCATGGCTAGATAGCTTGTTCCAGACTCCCACACCCCTTTGTATTTAGAAGTGCTACGTCTTCTTAGTATTGGATGCTCTTCCGCACACTTTCCACCTGTGTGTTCTGGTTTGTATTTCACTTCTCATTCTAAGGACGTCTGCTGGTTTGGCTTTGTCAGCGCCTTTGAGGATTTTGAATTCTTGTGTTCTGTTTCGATACCATTTGGCAGATGGTTGTGAGGCCTGAGACACAGGCCATGGGAAAAAAACACATCTTACCCAAAAACGTGTGGACACTAATCAGCAGATACGATACTTCACCTCAAAGGATAAACGTCTTTTGAAACACCGTAAAACTGAACCAGTTTCACAGTCACATCAGTGAATACAGTAAAACTTTGTCTAATATCTGTGTAACAGACATGGAGAGGAGAAAAGTGAATTCTTACAGCTGGGGTGCAGCTTTCTCTTCCAACATACAGTATATTTGCTTCTTTATTGTTTAATTATGAGTTATTTGAGTCATTATGAGTTAATTATGAGATTTTTAAGTGCTAAACAATCCAAATGCCCAAGCTCCAGAGGTTAATCTTAACATTTATAACACAAAACCATCTGTGAGCAATGCATGGTCATTAAGCAGTCTATAAATCTGCCTGCACGTGTGTTATTAGCACCACAAGGTCTTGATTTAAAGGCTTCTTATAATAAATAAACACTGCTTGATTTTACTCTTAGGGGAAAAGGGCTAACTTCAGCAATACTCGGGTAGAAGTTGCTCTTCAAGGAGTAGATTTGTGGACTGGAAATTATTTTAATAATTAATTCTCCATAGACAGATATTTAGACAGACGTTATAGATATGAATATTAATTATCTCTTTACTGTAACGCAATACTTGGGAGACAAATTATTTGCTAATTCCATCATTAGCAGATATTAGGTAAAATGTTAAGGTGTCGCAACTTCATGCTAATTAAGACCTGTAGCAACTGCCTGCTCTTAAGAAATGTCACCATAACAGGGGAGTGTGGCTTAGGATCTGTGCCTGTGGCTGGAAGGTTGCTGGTTCAAATCCCATGGCCAGCAGAGGAATTCTACTCCGTTAGGACCCTGAGCAAGACCCCACCTGCTCCAGGGGAGCCATATAAATGGCTGACCCTGTGCTCTGACCCCAAGCTTCTCTCCCTGTCTGTGTGTCTCATGGAGAGCAAGTTGGGGTTTGCGAAAAGACAAATTCCTTGCTATTCAAATGCAAGAAGTTGTATAGTCTTTGAAATTGTCTTATCTTATCTGATGTGTTTAAAGTCCTTAAATGATGTAAAAAGAGAGAAATACATATCTGTACAGCTACTGTATGAGGCCATGTAAAAAAGCAGCTTCACGGGCTTATTACAGCACACATTTATGACATCTCAGGTTCTCGACACCTTGCGTTTGCGTCCCCGACAGGTCCCGTTAAGAGTCATGCTGTCCAGCGGAAAGTCCTGGGGTTCGCTGGCTGAGCTGGCGAGACCGAGGAGCCTCCCCCATCGGCTCTGAGCCCCGGCAGCCTCTCTCTGGTTCTCTGTCGCCAGGCAACCGCGCAGCTGCTGCTTCCATCAGCGGCGCATTCCTGAGAGGTCTCACTTTCCCTCTGTCTGTAGCCCGGGGCAACGGCGAGAGGACCAGACCGGTTTTCTCCAGTTTCTCTTTTCCTTTCTTTCTCCGTGGCAACTGCGAGGGGAGGGGAGGAGGGGGGTGCGTTATACTGTCGTTCTCCTCAGCCCTGCTGCACAGGCACGGGGCTGAAGCGCAACTTATCGGCCGTGCGTCGATTTTTAAAAGGCAGCTAACATTTCCAGAGGTGTTTTCTGTTCTATTTATAGAAGGTTCATTGTTCCAATATACAAGAAATCGCCGTCCAGAAAGAAGTGCTGTTAACTAGCAAGAATTTCGATATCCAGTTTCCCTAGACCCCTGAATGAAGATGAGAAGGGCTGGCGAATCTAAAAAAGCCAGAAATCTGACAGGAGGTCCAGAGGCTTTAATGTGTATTCATATAACTCTTGTAGTACCGCATTTTGGGTTTTTTTTCCTGTATGTATTCTTTCTCGGATGTGTTTTCCCTTGACGGCAACAGCAGTTCTAACAGTCTAAAAGAGGGGTCTCCAGTCCTGGTCCTGCAGAACCACAGTCCAGTTAGTCTTCTAGGTCTCTCTACAAAATGGAGAACAAAACAGGTGGCTTTTTTTACGATTTGCTGTTGTAAATTCAGTCCTCACACATTTGCCTTGATGATTTTAGAAGGCAAGAAGCCGCGATGTGCAGGAGCCAGTGACACGCTGTTGCTTGTGCTTGTCGCTGGCCTGCGGGTTGGGTCCTGAGACACGTTCCGCTCCAGAAGCCCGGGTGCTGCTGACCTCATCCCCAGGTGTGACTAATATCCCAGGGTGAGAGAGCTCCTCTTCTCCCTGCTCCGCACTTGTTAATCTCCTGCAGGAGCCTGAGCGTGACGCACCTGCAGCCCGCACACTGTCAAGAGAGGGGCCAGCAGCGAAAAGCGCCGCTGTTCCCTTGTCCCTTGCCTGCAGTGACATCAGCACTTTCTTCTGGACATGCACCAAAATAATTGTTGACATTTACACTATGCAAGCCCGTTGTGGATCCTGTTAAAGCTGGAAGTTCTCGTTCTGGTTACCTGTTAGTGCGTTTTTCCTCAATAAAGATCCCTTGTGCAAAACTCATACCAGTCACTGCTCCTCTCTTTGTATGATGCACAACGGCCCCAACAATTGTTTGCAGGACGAGGGGGCTGTGCCTTCCCAAGTACAGCTGAGCAGTTGGACAAGCCGTTCATGATGGACTCAATGCGTTACCTGGCATTTATGTTATGCAAAGGATGGGCTTTCAAAAAAAAAAAAGATGGCACTGTTTGTATTGCAGTCTGTCTCTTAATCATGATCACCTAGCTATAATCGCTCCCATTGCCAAACAAATCAACCTGTGACCGGAAAAAGACAAGGATGAACATCTTACCAGCAGGTTCCTGTAGGCTGGAGTCTAACAAGTCAATACAGTAGTCTTGGCATGTTCTCTGGTTCCTGCCTACCGCTCAATTTAAAATCTAGGAGACAGCAAGGCTCAACTTTTAGTGGGTAGTAAGTTTTCTGTTGAGCAAACAGCTCTCTCAACTAGAGTAAGCAGTAAGAAGATTCATACTCCAACCCTTTCCATTAATCTTGTGTCTAAGAATGTAAATTATTATTTCATAGCACTTGGGTTGATGGTTAATAGAAAGTTTATACAACTTACAGTATATAAATAATATATATAAGTATATCTCTCTAAATGATATAACTTAACCTAAGTGTTCTGAAAGCCTGAGCCTTCCCAGACCAACAGGTGTCGAGCTTCTCCCTCACTCAGGACCTGACGCTCTGAGCACCTTCTGCGAGAGCTGTGGCTGCAACCAGCCTGCTTTTGCCCCTCACCAACTATATCCTGCGACATCAGAACATGCCTCCGCTAGCGCGAGGAGGCTGATTGACAGCCGTTTCTTGAAAGAAGCCTCATCATGGCTGGACCGCACACATGCGTATGGAGCATTCATGTGAATTCACTGGAACACGCTCACAACCTTTTGCGGTCTCGGCTAGTAATACAGCAAAGCAGGTCCACTTATGTCACTCCCCCTCTTTTTTGTTTGTGTCTAAGACTGCACTCTAATGACAAGTGATACTAACAAATCGCATTACGCTGGAAATATCTCCACAAGCAGACTCACCCCCCCCCCTTCTAAACCACGAGGGGCTTGTGTAACGTACAGATTCGGGGAGCATGCAGGCTCAGTCAAGCACGAGACTGGTTTGCTCAACTGCATAAGAATTTTCACCTGCAGAAAGTCACACTGGAGGTCAACAGCAAAGCTCAGGTCTTCTAAAACTCAGTCTCTCTCTCTCTTGGCGTCCGACTGATGTTTCTGATCACAGCACAGCAGGCATCATGGACAGCGGAACCTGAAATGGCAAGCCTGCAGTCAGGGCTTTATAAGTCACTCAATAACAAGGCTATTCAAAGGCTTAACCGTGGTTTTTCCTTTTAATGGGCTTTTAGCTTTCTTGTGGGCTCCTATTCATGATGGGCAATAGCTGTTAGCCTCCAGGTGCCCCAGGCAGCTTACAGTCACAAGCAGAAAAAATGGTATTCTGGTTCAGATTTGAGAATCCTCCAGGTTACTGAGAATTGCTTTGATAAAGTCCGCCATCTCGGCAGTGGAACAAGCAACGGCAGCAAACGGCAAAATAAAAATCACCTGTTCACATTTCCAGTGCTAAATTTTAGCCGTGCTTTCACTCCTACAGCAACAGTGATTTGGCAAGCCTTGGGAAAGTGATTTTTTTTTTCTTCCATTCCATCCATCATCAGTTAACTACTTATGGTGACAAGAATTGGAGCAGAGAGACGCCTCCTTGCCCCCTGGAAGTACACAAGACGAGAGACCGAGACCGCAGACCTGCTCCCCCCGCCAGGGCCCCAGATAACAAGGCCATTCAGACCCAGCTCCTGGCTCTTTGGCAGGGGGGTGGAAATGGGACCACCTACATGCAAACTCCAGCCACACCAACACCCAAAACAAACATGACCCTGGAGCTCCGAAACAGAACCGGTTAATAATTACAAAGACAGGGCATCTCTATCCCTGGCCCTGGAGAGCTGCAGTCCCATTACTCTTCTAGATCACCTGTGTCGGAGGAGTGGAATACACATATTAGCTCTCAATGAATCCAGACAGTAATCAGTTCAGTTGAGATAACTCTTGCTTATCTCAACTGGGTTGAGGGTAAGTAATAACAAAATCCTACTGAACTGGGGCTCTCTGGGAGCAGTCTTTGAAGATAGAGAAACAAACGTTGCTATTCCTTCATCCCGTGTCTTGTATTGACACGCAGGTAGCTCTCCAGGGGAATTGACTGCCTCTAATGTTGAAGATGTACTGCTGTGTACAATCCGGAATAATTACAAAAAAACGTTTCTCAGACATTAGCAGTCACATCGGTAACCCTTTCATGTCGCATTTTTATTTCTGAAGCAAAGAAAAGCACTTGCAAAACGCATACGAGCTTTTGTTTTTATTGATACATTATTTACATCCATTGCTTCCATAATGCAAGAAATCACTTTACATCTTTACAATGTCCCCTTTTATAAAAAAAAAAATCAGAAAAGAATCAGAAAAGATAAGCAACCCAAAATAAATCCCACAGAACCAAGCTGTCACTGCAGACATACACAACCGTTGTACGTCTAATGAAATCTCACGGGCGTTGTGGCCCCCAGGCAGGCTCCTGCAGTGGAAACGATCCCAGACTTACTGCAATTTGCATGGGATTCGTCCTGCTGAACATATGCACTATACACATTCAAAACAAGGAGCCTTCAGTGTACACACACTACAGCAGAATGGAATTTGAAGCCACAGGAACAAGCAGGATATTTCTCTGGTTTGTCATATCACGAGACACAAACCAATACAGCTGTAATCAGTGGCGGTCGCATGCCTGTTGGTGACAAAGACGTCATTTCTAAAAGTTTTTTTGGGTGGTTTTTGCATATAAATTCACATTTGCCTTTTCTGGTTTTGTGAGCATCCAAGTTTGTAAACATTTTGAGAGGTTTTGGGTTTTTTTTTGTCTGCTACAAAAACAAAATCATAAAATATTCCAGGTGCTATGTACAGTAGACTACAATTTACACTTTACATTTCATACATCAAAAGAAGTCGAGTTAGCAGGTCTTACAGCAAGTGTGTAGTGAGACGCGCGTCACACCCTTACGATCTGTGGCAGCGCATCTCGAAATGACAGCTGTGATCTGCTGAGTGAACTCGTCTGCTGGTTAAAATACAAGGAGCTGCTTACAGAAGTAAGACAGACCAGAAAAACTTTTAGAAATGACACCCAGTGCTGACAGTGTTACAACACTTGAGTTATTTTTTAAAACCATGCAGTAATACAGTTTAAAATGTAGAATAGAAATTCACAGTCAAAGACGCATCTCTCCTCAAGATCATTTAAAGATCGCACCTTTGTTCCACACGCGCTGGGACTGCTGCTGCTTCAGCCAGCAGACCTGTTGCAGCTTCTACACAGGACTCCTGCAGCACCGGCACGTAGCCCAAGAACCCCTCTCATGTCATTAATTCTTATTGCTCGATTAGATGGCTAAGGCGCCTGAAATGCACAGAATGACTATATATACATAAATATATTTACATATATATTTACACACGCACACACCCCCCACCCCACAAACACAAAGCATACACAGATGTGCAAACTAGATATGACAAACAGTCCAAAGCAAATATATTGACCTTTGGCAATGTTACTTCAATATTACCCAATACTTTGGCCTGTTTTGCGACCCAGACACACCGTGTTAGAAGCGCTTTAGTATTCAACACGGATGGTCCTCATCCACGGCTCTGCTCAAAATGGGAGTTTCTTCATGGGCAAGGGGTTCTGCTGGATCACAGCATTGGAGAACATCAGTCCTGCCCCCGGTACCACAGGCGCCCCCCTGCTGGCGACTCCCGTGCAGTGTCCCCTCTTACATTCCTTTGCCCAGCTGAGTGCTCTTGTAGCAGGCGTCTTTGCGGTGCAGTATGAACCCTTCGGTAATCCACCAAACTGTCATTTTGCAGTGGAATTGCACACATCCAACAGCCAAGCAGGGGTGAGGCATGGATTTGGGGTCAGTACACAGCTGTTATCCACTCCTTCGCTGCACTACACTTCCAACCGGCATTCAAGAAAATTAACTCTGCTGCTCGGTGACACAGATACTAGAAAAAAGAGCTGCCTTTTCTACTTTTTCAGATAAGAATGCTCTTCATGCCTAGGAATGAAGGGTATAGGAAAAACAGGTACTGAGCTAGCGGCAGGAATTGCAGAGAAGATTTACAATTGCAACAACCCATCCTATCCCCTTTACTGGACTGAAATAAGTCAGCAAAACATCCAAAACGTACAGCAGCACGAATGTATCCAGTTCCTGCACAAAACCAAAACCCAAACGGAAAAATATAGCAGCTTAACCCCCACAAATCGAGGAGCCCAATCAAAAGGCCCTCCCATCACCGTTAATGCAACGCAAACAAGGGTTTGATTCTATTCTTTGCACGGAGCAGGGAAACGGGGGTCTGACCCCCTCACTAACTGGGGAGGGAGAAACCACAGGTGTTTATGGGGACCTGGGAGACGGGAAAGCTCCCACAGACAGTTCCACTTAAAAGACAGCAAGCGGGATGGCCATACTCAACACAGGAAATGGCCTCTATGCCATCCTGTCTGATCTGCACTTGGCGATCGACTGCTCTGCTCCTGTCCGGTTCAGGTTTGCACTTCTGCGACCCCTGGTCTCACTGTTCCTTTATTTTCACCTCCAGTTGGGCTCAGCCGTGTGCTTCCTGCCTAACCCCCTCCCCCTGTCTCCCTCTCACTCATGGAGACGGCTCCAACAGCTGAAACTGTGCATTTGACCCATTTCGCCCAATCAGAGTGGCTGCCCAGCTGTCCTTCAAAAACACAAGGTTGCATCTCCGTCATCCAGTTCATTGTCAACAGTACTATCTTTGCAACATTGCACCGGATCCAGCTGCAGCCACAGGTGGAGAGAGGACCAAACTCAGACATCAGCTACAGATTACAATACGTCTTTAAATCTCTGCATTTGGCTTACAGCACAGCTCACAGAGCCTGCGCTGTCTCACTGTCCCTACTGGTGGCCATCCTTGTGCGCTGGTTTCTCCGTTTCCTGTGTTGAGTATGGCGGTCCTGCTTCCTGTCTGATGGGCCTTTTAAGTGGCACTGTGTGTGCCTTCCCTGAGAGGGCTTCAGTCTTCATCAGAGCAGAGGCCACTAACAGCAGAACCTGGCAATAACAGCAAACTCAGCTCTATGCTTTGACATTCATGTAATAGTTAATACTGCATTCAGATAGTGGTTTAAGGGCTCACACCTCACTCACTCTTGCTTTACGTTTGTGCGTCATTGTTTAACACTTGAAAATCACATTCAGTTTGCAAAATGGCATTCGGAAAGTGTAACAGGAACGAGGCTTTGCCTTGGGTGCTTGGAACTTACCCGTTCCGTTTAAAAAAGAAAAAGAGACAACAAAAAAGTGTGAACATCAAATGTGAGTCGGCTCGCTGCTCTCTGTTCAACCCAAATTTAAAAGGCCACAGAAGCACTTCACATCAAATCCCTGTCCGAGTCAGACTACACTGTCCACACAGTCTTCTCCCAAGTGTTCATGTCCACACACTGCAGTCTGTAGTTCAGGGTCAGCGCGGTGCACTGAGGGGCAGAGGAAAGACTGGTTTGCCAAGTCTCTCTCCGTTAAACTAAACTAAAATACTGCCGTCGCAATTCAGGATGTTACCCCACCCCTCTGATCACTTTACCTTGAAAGCGCTGTACTCCAGAGGTGGAGAAAACCAGGAAACACTACACCATCAAATCCCCAGTACAAACAGGGAGGAATGTCACCTGGTGCTCTCGTAGGTTTTTGGAAAACAATCTACATTAATATTTTCAAAAGCACTGCACTTTATGTTACAATCCAGTACTGCATACTGTGCAAGTTATTGGTTTTGAGAACATATGTTCTCTTTTTGCTATTCTTTTTATCAATAGGTCTAATTTACCATTTCATCCCTCGACTTCCAGTTCACCTTGATTCCTAAGTCCTGGAGTCTGGAACTCGACTTGAGCAGTCTCAGACCCCTCCCTCTACCCTGCAGAAGGCCCTTACGCATTAAGAGGACAGACCTCCTCTACTGTGCCCTCCCTAGACCAAGAGAAGTTAAATAGGCTAATACATTTCGAAATATGCATGATTTTCTTCGCTTTAGGCGACCCGTCACATTCTGCTGCCTTTGCACTGGCAAACACACAGAACGTATTAGCGCTGTTCCCATCTGGTGTTCACACAACCCATCTTGGAAACTGTTTCGCAAGAAATGCAGAACTTTCTCTTTCTAATAGGAGTGCTGACAGCCCCTCTTCAAAAGAATGCTGAACCATTCATGATGGATCATTACTGGCAGGGCTCCAGATATACAGATACATTCATGCAGACTCTGCACAATAAATAATTAGCATGAAACTAAATTAAACCTAAATGCATTTAGAAAAGCTCTGGCAATCTTGCGCTTGGCATCCATAGCTAACAAAAGATCAGTTCTACAGTATGTAGCTTCCATCTTATATAGCTATGATCTTTTTGGTTAAGTGCTCTTCGTGGTTAAAGGAGCTGCATGCTTGCAGGAATTCACAACTGGAAAAAGCTCTGCCAAGAAGCCTAAATGAGATGCATACTGCACATTCTTCTTGACAGCACTGCTTTTTGACAGGATTTTCTTAAATTCTTCTTAAGCAATTTCAAAATGTAGGACTTGTGTACCTTTCAAACCTAAAGGAATAGAATCGTCTTAAATGAGCACATTATTTGACCGACTCATCAAGGATTCCCAGGCGCTGCCAGTCTTTAGATATTGATGACGTACAGTGGATATAAAAAGTCCATGCACTCTTATCGGGCGGAGCAGTGGCTCTGTGGCTAAGGGTCTGTGCCTGTGGCTGGAAGGTTGCTGGTTCAAATCCTGTGGCCAGCAGAGGAATCCTACTCTGTTGGGCCCCTGAGCAAGGCCCTTAACTCCAACTGCTCCAGGGGTGCTGTACAATGGCTGACCCTGTGCTCTGACCCCAATCTCTCCCTGTCTGTGTGTCTCATGGAGAGCAAGCTGGGGTATACAAAAAGATAATTCCTAATGCAAGAAATTGTAAAGGGTTAATAAAGTAATGTTAATTTGCAGGTTTTTGTGATGTAAAGCCAGAAATCAAGATAAATCATGTCAGACATTTTTCCTTCGTAAATGTGACCTTGCAACCAACAAAATTCAAAAGAAAAACAAATTGGTAATTATTAGGAAAAATAATTGAAATTAAAAAAAACCTGCAACACCCTGGATGTAGACTTTTATATCCACTGTATGAGACTAACTGGACTAGGGCTCTCCAGGACCAGGGATGAAGCATCCAGCAGTAAATTAATTCCAGCTATTTTCATTGCCAATGTATCATTAGCAAGAGCAGGGAATTCCTTTCAAAATGTTGTAAAAATGTCCTCTATGGTGAATTTAAGAAGGATCCCCACTTGGATAAATAAAAAAAAAACAAATTGTCAACAATACCTTGCTCAGAAAACATTTGTTAACAGCTTTTTGAAAGATGAAAGGATCACAATATTTGGACATACAAAACACCACAACTAACCCAAAGAAAAAAAAAGTGCTATTCGGGTGAGAAATTCAAGCAGGTTTTGGATAGAACGCAGGGACCAATCTGGATTTCAGATCTACATTCTGCTCTTCCAAAACTTAAGGAAACACATTAACAAAGACCTCTTCAACGGAGCAGCTCATCCAAGGACACCCACATGCTCGAAAAAGAACTGTGACCCCCCTAAGTCACGTAAGAAAATCAAACCAAAAGGCTAGTTACATCATTGTTAAACTGAAAGACACAGCTTTTCCAAAAGTGCATTTAGTACCTTTTGCTGAACTGGGACTCCTGTATTTCACACTCTCGAAGGTGGCAGTATGCCAGTAAAAAAAAAAATCTCTCAAATCAAATCTGGTTTGCGGAGACCTAGTATGACTTTGTGGGAAGAGCAGCAGAGCAGTCATGTGAAAATTGGTATTTCTCAAGAGTGTCCGATCAAGATGAACATCTCAAACAGAGTGTATCGGGATGACCAAATCCAGCTGACATTAGCATTCCGCAGGATCCAGAAAAGAAGGAGTACCCCCTACCTTTGGATAAGGGGAACTTCTACACACCCAGTGTAATGAATTAGGGGGTTCTTTTGCACACTGAAAGTCATCCCTTCGCCTCCCCCTTCACTGGACTAGATCACACCCAAAACAAAATGAAAAACATTTCCAGTGCTGTAGTTAGAACTTGTCAAGTGATTCTCTTCACCACCACCCCCCCCAACCCTCCCCCCTCTTCGTCATTTCCCTCTAAGACACATTTCATGCAAAATTCCTTTGAACAAACACAGACTTATATCGTACGCTAAAAAAAAGAAGCTTTTTTCTTAGCTCTTTAAAAAGGCAGGCACTGTACGCACGCACCAGGTACAGACACATGCCAGTTTTGCATTGCATGGGTCTTGCATTCTACGATTCACAAGTGGGATGTCATCCAAGCAGTCAGCTACTTCACTGAGCAAAGGCGCTGTGCAGGGCGTCTCATACAGTCCTGTGGAGACTTGTTTGTTTGTTTTCCCTCTTTTCCTACCAACAGTTCGGATACAAGCACTCGGAATAGTAGCCTCTGTATCCCATGCTGTAAAGCTTCCGAGAGGACTCCCAACTGTTCTCCGACGCCCTGCAGCTGCCTCTCTGCTCCAATGACATCACTCGGCACAAGCGAGAACAGAAAACAGCAGCACAGTTGAGACTCCAAGGCGCATGCAGAGGTCTGGCCCAGGGCTGCAGTCATTTTAACAGAAAGCATGAAAGACAAGGCAAGAAAACTCATCCTCTTGGGTTCTTAAATAGAATGGTTTTTACAGTATATAACAAACTGGGCTAATACAGTCACTCCCTTTGCTGGCTTGTTATAAGGAGAAAGCAAATGGAGAGAGATTTTGGGGGTTTTGTCTACATGTATCGTTTTGAGTTGTACAGTATATCAATATATATAGTCTGCGTGTTCGCATGTAGAAATACATTAAGTCAAATGTGCCCAATTTGGACACTGAAGTTCTTGTTTGTGCTCCTTGGTCTTTATTTTTAAATTTTATAATTTGACAAATGCAGCAATAAGCACGCCAGTAACATCTTTAAGCTGAAAAGGGCGGAGATGCTTCTAAGATCAGAAAATGCTTCATTCCAATTACTTTAAAAACCTACTTTAAGTATTCCTGTATTAAAAAGTGCTCACAGCAGCTTAGTCTCTCCAATGTAGTAATGATAGAACTTGAACTTAAAATTTTACAGTAATTGTAAAATGTTACATCCTGTTTTACGAGTTTCGTCAGCGTGAGGCTGTTCGTATTTACAGACCAAATTCAGTACGGGTACACATGCGACCTCTGGCTATTGCTGCAAACGCGGCTGTAAAAAAAAAGTGAAATGGTTTTCCTTTATGGATTAGACTCGTCTGTCCTTTTGCTAATAGACCAAAATATCTTAAGACTCATTTCTGAAACAAGGCCAGCCATTATTCATCAATGGGAAGTCCACCCTTCCTCGTCGGTTTTGAGAACTTCATTCACACACGTGCACGTATATATAGAGTATATACTGTATGTTTCTAACGGTTTCCCAGAAGGCAGCACAGTGCCTTGCTGACAGTACCGGGCGTTTGTGTGAGCAAACTTTAGCTCGAGTTTTCTTATTCATGCATCAGAGCACGCTCGACAATCCCCACGCATTTTCGACACGTCTACAGCAATTTTAGAAAAGGAATCGGGTTTTGTCTTTCGTCCCTTGCCTAGCATGAGGAGATGGAAATGCGCTGTACAGTATAGATCTCCCTCCCTCTCTCCCCCTAACCCAGCCCCCACGAATACTGCTGTGTGGAATTTAACTGTGCTTCATTGGAGGTATCAAGGCATGGGGCTGGGACAAAGGGACGGTTCTCATCAGAGAGCCACGCCCGCCCAGTCCTGCTGAAAGCCGGGCCAGTACTGACCGCACCGGGGCCGGCCAGCCCAGCCAACTCTCCCCCCAGCCCCCGGCCAGCCCGTCAGGCAGCTCTGATGAGGGGGAGCAATGGGATGTAGAGGCTGGGAGGCAAAGAGCATAGCAGGGGGAAGCAGGGTGGGGGAGGTGGGTGAAAACCCAGGCGGCCTCATCCTCCGGAGCGAGGCACCCTGCCGGCCAGCAGGGGGCAGGAAAGAGGCGTGCGAGGAGGGCGAGTGGGCGGGTTTATGGTGACGGGGTCTTTTAAGGGAGAGCGAGGAGAAGGTGATGAGGGGGGGGAAAAAAGATATATAGGCGCAACGACAACCAAAAATCAACCCAGGTGGGAAAGGGGCGGACTCATTCCTCGCGGAGCTGCAGGCGGTAGCGGTGGTAGCGGATCTGGAAAAACATCCTCTCCATGAGCGAGCGGCTCATCCCGGGCAGGGTGTATTCCTCCTTCTCGCCCGCGTGCCGGAAGCCCAGCGACTCGTACAGCTTGTGCGCCGCCACCTTGACGGCGGTGGTGCCCAGGACGATGGCCGAGTAGTTGTTGCGCATGGCGAACTCCAGCACCTTGCGGCCCAGCGCCTTGGCGATGCCCTTGCCCCGGTAGCGCGAGTCCACAGACATGCGGCGCAGCTCCAGCGTGTTGTCCTCCTCGCTGCCCTGCGCCGCCACGATGCCCACCACCTTCCCCTCCAGCACCGCCACCCAGAAAGAGGAGCCTGCGAACGACAGAGGGGGCTGTTAGCCGGCACCCGGCGGGGCGCGGGGGCCCAAGAGCGCGCTCGTGCCGCCCAATTCGCCCGCCCTTCCTCAGGAATGCTTTACTACAACCACCATCGTTCACTGCCCTCCAAATGAAAGTGACCAACGCGAACCAGAGGTCGCAGGTGGAAACCAAACGGAAGTGCATTTAAATCTGAGAACAGGAGACACTTTGCACAAAGGGTTGTGGGAGTGTGGAACAAGCAGCCAAGGCCTGTGCTTCAAGTCCATCCCCCGTATTTGTTCAAAAAACAGCTTGGATACGATCTTTGGATCAATTAGCTACCAACTACCTAATAGGCTAGATGGGCCAAACAGCCTCTGGCTTGTAATTGTTCTTATGCTTCAGATGTTACTCACAGTCAAGTAAACTATCGTCACCTTATTACAGGGGCATATACAGCCCGATTCACTCCACCAGCCACTGTCCTGTATCTGTACCTACAAACCCCGATAACACTAGGGTTTTGAGAGTGTCGAGTTTTTGTTTCATGCAGGTTGTTGTTGCGGAGTTGTGCCACATTTCCCTGAACCTCACCTCCTGTGACTTAAACTCTAAAGGCTACAGAGCTTTCACCTTCTGCCCCCTTGCCACTCGAGACGCACACAACATTACAAGCAGGAGACTCACTGCCACGCTGACATGAAGACGGGTCACCGAGAGAGAACGGAGCTGGAGCACGTTGTCTGTGAGCTCATTGCGAAATTTGGTCCCGTCTCAAACAAGCCTCTGCAGTGCTTTGAAAAATACACTCATTCAAACATGCCTGCAGTTTCATTTCAGCGCATGTCAAGCTGAATGATAAATGCCTTCCTGAATGCAGTTTCTCGCCAATACGGGCACATTCACATGGCAAGAAGACGGGAGCACACTCTTTGTGCTCACAAGTATTATCCTGGTTACTGGATGATGGATGAGGAATTAAACCTGTCCCAAGTACTGCCTCAAATCTATTAGCCAAATTAACCCTGTCTCTGTAACCCGTGGAGTTCAGCTGTAGCTTCACTTAAATCTTGACCTTTTCAAGCTTCTTCACACTGTACTGGACTGTGGCCAGGGGGTTAATACTGCAGCCTCACAGCTCCTGCATGAGTGAGAAACCTTCAGTCTGTGTCTTCTTTGGCTATTCCAGTTTACTCCCACCTTCCCCAAGACGTACTGCCTAGGCTAACTAGAGTCTCTACATCCTCCCCCAGCTTGTGCTGGCGCGGTACGAGGGCATGTGCCCATCATGTACATGGCCTGCCAAGGACTTGCTCCTGTCTCTAATTGAAAAGGGAATACTGCAATACAGCAGTGAGGAGAATGGAAAACAAGGAGGCAGGCCTACAACACCCACTTTTTGTGGTAACAAATGAAAAGTAGCCACAAGGGACTTAATGAAAGGACAAACCATTTAAAAAGAAAACCATGTTGCTGAAAAATGCCATACAGATGCTCAATTTTAACGCCTGGGCCCACTCCAAATTACAGAAGTACAATCTCAAAGTAACAGGAATTTCACACTCAAGCTTCTATATCTCTAGCCATATCGCTCTGCAACTCACAACTAACAGCCCACCGAAGCTCAGCAGGTGTGAGCCTGGCCAGTACCTGGATGGGAGACCTCCTGCGGTCTATGTGGGTCCTAATGCCCCAGTATAGTGACGGGGACACTGTACCATAAAAAGGTGCCATCCTTCGGATGAGATGTAAAACTGAGATCCTGACTCCCTCTGGTCATTAAAAATCCCAGGGCGTTTCTCGAAAAGAGTAGGGGTGTAACCCCGGCGTCCTGGCCAAATTTCCCATTGGTCCTTACCAATCATGGCCTCCTAATAATCCCCATCTACAAACAGGCTTCATCACTCTGACCTCTTCCCCACTGAGGGCTGCTGTGTGGTGAGTGTACTGTTAGCGCAGTACGGGCTGTTGTCACATCATCCAGGTGGGGCTGCACACTGGTGTTGGTGGAGGGGATCCAGAAGAGTGCTATATGTAAGTGTAAGCAATTAATTATTATTATGAACAGAAGTCTGAGTGGAGTTCAGCAGCACCTCCAACAGCTCTGTGCTGAAAAATCTGTCACTGTCAAATAAGGCAATGTGTTGCAGGCTAGATGTTTATAAACCAGTATAAGGCTCCTTAGACTGTTCAACTAAAAAAACAAGACTCTAGGGTCACACATGAAATCACTTTGCTCTTTCGCTTAAGGGCTAGACCGAGTGTGAAAAATGACTGAACTACAGTTAAGCTGGCTGCAATGTTTTATAAAGCTTAACCTTGAGGTACTGAAAAGGCATTTCTGTTGCCTTTTTTCCCTGAAGGCCCTTCTCTTTAACACTGCACAGAGCTGTTAATTGAGTTGTTGCGGATATTGGTGGGGGGGGGGGCCGTTGTGTGTTTAAAGGCAATTCTTTACACTAAGGTTGGTGGGGGTCTGGAACAAGCTTCCTAGCCATGCTGTCACGGTAGATACCCAGGCTTCTTTCAAGAAACAGCTGGACGTGAACCTCAGCACGACTAGCTACTGAGAAACCAATAACACAGCAAGACAGGCCTAATGGCCTCCTCTTGTTTCCATCGGAAAGGTCTTCAGAAGCAGAAAGTTAAGTTCATGCGGCTTTATTTCCCATTGCAAACTCCTCCTCTTCAGTTGAGCTGAGCTAAGGTCAGCACAGTGCACGCTTGCTAGTCCCAACGGCATGTCAAATCTCTTCACTGCACCTCGTGAGGCTAGGCGAAGATCGCCCAAGCTGAGCCCCGTCCTCCTGGGTTCAGCAGCCTGGCAATATCTGCTAATTAGATTCATCAGGAGAATAGAGGATCTGGTTAAATGGTGAGATCAGAGGACACTCATCCATCATCAGCCCTCCTCACTGAAAGACGCAGCTGTGACTTGACTCCAACCTCAAAAAAAAGGAGTGGGGGGTTGTGAATCGGAATGCCCTGACAGCTTCTGCTTCTAGATTCAGTGCTGTTGATTATCTTCATTTTTATTAAGTAAGGATCAGTTACAACCATCTTACCTTAATGCACAGCTGTCTGTATGGAGGCAAGGCATGTCTAGAGAACTAATAAAATCTGGGCATCTGCAATAAATTCAAACAGGTTTGATATGCCCAGAGGCCTGCTGTATTATTTCATTTCTTCAGATCAGAGGAGACGATTTAGACATTCTTCCATCGGGTTTCGCTCAGTAGTGCGTTCTGGAGTGTTGAAGATGCTCTATCAGTGACGTGTGGGAAGCACTAAAATAGAAAATCCATTTTAAGACCATCCTCCTAGAATCCACCTCCTGCCAAGAATCTGTCACAAGTGAGGCAGACACAGCTATCAGAGTGCAGTGGCTGGAGGGAAGGGAATTTCTGTTCCCAACAGATGGACCAGATTCTTCTCCTTATGTTTTCTAGGGGGAAGGCACAATTTGTTATTCCATGAGCTGCAGTGCCTGCTAGACTGACACCTGCTGCTGCTGCTGCTATGGTCACAGGCCACTTCGCACGTAAGAAGCTGGAATAACCACTGCTGCAGCCTTCAAACAAAGCGCCAACTGGAAGCCAAGCAAAACCATAATGGCTGCAGGGCAGTGGTGTTCGGGGGAGAAGTGCCGCTTGTGCAAACGTGACCTCGGGTGTCTTGAACTGGACAATCGACAGGCAGCAGAGCCCGGCTAATTCAGGGAACAATGAGCTGCAGCCAGCAGGAGTAGCTCTGCTACATGCATGGCCAGGATAACATGCCCAGATCCTTTATCATCCTTTCAAATCAAATGCCAAGGAGGTATCCCGAAATCCTTGTTTGAATTTACAGTATGAGCAGGGGGTCTTTGGAGACAAGCTGGTGCCTTCACTTGAATGGGGCTCTCAGCACATCACCTCATTTCACCTCCCTGTTATTTACAGCCCGTGCTGAATTAGGTCAATACTAGCACTGCAGACTGCAGTTTTATACTTCCTGCTCAGCCTAAAGCTCCACACCATAAACACTTGATTTCTAAAGGATTCAAGCCTTATTTTATTTTTTTCTCATCGCTTGGCCTGCCATAGGGAAGAGTGGTGGCACTGTGGCTAAGGATCTGCGCCTGTGGCTGGCAGGTTGCCGGCTCAAATCCTGAGCAAGGCCCTTGACCCCAGCTGCTCCAGGGGTGCTGTACAATGGCTGACCCTGTGCTCTGACCCCAAGCTTCTCTCCCTGTCTGTGTGTCTCATGCAGAGCAAGCAGGGGTATGCGAAAAGACAAATTCCTAATGCAAGAAATTGTATAGGGCTAATAAAGTGATCTTATCTTATCTTACAGGGGAATAAGCAAATCTGAATCTCTATTTTTTACTATACATGCATACTAATTATACTAGGCCTGTGAATGCTGGGTTAAAAAGTACATATAAAATACATAAATGAATAACCTCTTGAGACAGTATTATAGTATTTTTAGGGATAGCTTTTAAAGAAATTAGATTCTCTACTGTAACAATTATAATTCTAAATCCTGCAGCAATGTGACACATTTAAGCCTGTGCTTTAACTCATGCTTTCACTTTAATTCTTGAACTCTCAAAAAAACCGTTTTTAACAGCCGATTAAGGGGACAACATCTGTCTGTTCCAAGTCTTCTTTTCCGTTTCCTACGAAATAATGTGGCTATTCCTGCAGCTGAAATGCTGGTGCACAACAGATTTGGGTGAATGGGTGTCTGTAAAAGTCTACCCCCTAATAGCACAGAACTCAAGTGAGCAAGAATCTGGGTTATCGGAGGAGCCCTCACAAGAGCTGAGCTCTTCCTCAGTACCACCTCCCCTGTGCAAACGTTCAGAAACCCACAGAGGATTTAGTAGTTCCACACCCTCCACCTCAGCGTCCTCGCCCACAGCCTACAGGGGAAAACCGAGTTCCTGACTTTTCTTTAAAAACGAAACATGCATCTTATTAGATACTGCTTCTGTCTCTGGGTGTCACAATTCTGGGCAACTGCTGCAGAGACGGAGTAACTGTAGCACAGGCCCAGAGGAGCAGGGAGCGTGCCAGGGATATAGATCTCTCTGACACTTCTACTGTATCAGCACTTCCCATCACCCTGTCTCTAATCACTGCCAGATAGCAACACCCCCAGCACACACACACACACGCCTCCCTCTCCTCAAAAGCCAATAGCCATTATCGTACCGGGAGGCACACTGCATTATTATATAAACTCCAAACGCTATGCTGGTAATCCTTCTCCTGGCTGTCAAGAATCCATTAGCCTTAGAGGGAATGATCATGCATTAATAATCAATACATTTCTTTAAAAAGAAAGGCTCCCTGATTCACACAGCGACTGTGGGCACCCTGGGAATGTCTACTAAATATTTACAGATTTATTTTGTAGTTTAAAAACAAACGTGCGAGGTTCAGTCAGGAAATCACCTACAAGAGCAAGTGGTCATGCAAAGCTAGCTAATCTAGCTAAATTCTTCCTTTGCAGTAAATCTTTGCTCATTTCTTCGTCAGTTATAGCTTTAAGTAGGAGCTCAAGACCGCGTTTGAGGATCAAAATACAACATATGCGCCATCATTCCTATGTTTTTTATTCTTGTTTTTTCCACAAGTTTGGGAAGGCCTGTTTTCAGCTGCATGATCTTCAACTTGATAGTCTCTGGGAAACTGGGGTGTAATAAGGATTAACAAGCTTGGTTTTCCTCGGCCTAGCCTAAGAGAACTAGTGTCCCATGGGGCACTACTCTCAAAGACCCTCTTACAGACAAACTCTCAGCTGCCCTTGACTGCAGGGGTCCGTTTTCTGCCTTTTATTTTTAGTTTAAAATCATGCACAAGCCTTTCCTGGAGAATTACCTGCACGATCTTTTTCATATTCTACCAACCAGTTACAGTGAAAAAAGAAAATGTTTCTATGGATTAGATTATCAATCAATCTTAGATTTTAAACATTTAAATCCTATTTTGCTCAGGTGGAATTGAAGCCCTGAGGGGGGGTGGGCTGTACTCCGAAGAATGATTACCCTATTGTATTCTCCTGATTCTTGGCGGATCCAGTGTGCTCTGCTTTAAGGAGCATAGCACTGCCCAGAGGCAGACTGGAGGGAGACAGTTCTTGTAACAGGCAATCTGAAAAAGAAAAATCTCATCTAAAATGGGCGCAGACTTTCCACTCTTCTTTCCTTCCCCCAGATCTACTGAATTGAAAGATAATTTGTAAAAACAAGCTTCCTGACCACCGAGATCCCCTCCCATGCTGCCTTTGGTCCAGTGACTGATCAGATATCAGTCTACCACCTGAAAAAAAGTCTAATTAAGTGCAGCTCTCCCTCTTGCAATAAATAATTCCTTGCTAATTGCACGCTCAGAAAGCAGTCCAGCTTTCATCGAGTAAAAGTCCAAGCACAGATTTCCTGTATCTTAACCCTTCTGTGGTGGGCTTGTACGACCGCAGGTGGACAGCAGACAGCTTTGGGTTCTTGCCCTGATACGAGCTGCAGTGCTCGATTGAATAAAACAAACAAACAGCACGAACAAGCAGCTGCCTCTTAAGAGCACCCACAGGACCGGGAGCTCAGCGTAGACACCGAAACTCCAACACCGTCAGCCCGGAGATCATGTCAGACATTTTCTTTGATGCTGTCCCTTTTTCTCCCCTCCATCGACCGACAGCGGTTCGAAATAGACACCAACATGGATTTATCCTCATGCGACTGGCCTGGATGCTGAAATTTCCATTTTTAGCCTTTTGCCTATTGATGGCTAAAACGGAGAAGCGGACTTTTCTGCTTTTGGTAGCTGGTCTGGAGGTCGCTAATGATGGGAAAAAAGACTACTTCGGGTTACCTGTTGTGAGACTGCACCCACCAATACTTCTGTAGGCAAATGGTTTTTACAGGCTCTTTCTACCAGGGAATAAAGAGCTTTACAGATGGGTTAGATTATCAAGGAGGTAGGAGCTGCGATCTACACTGGAATAAAGGGGACCTCAACGGTTATTTCAGGCTAATTAACAGTTCTTTATTCTCCACCATTCATCATTTTCATGTTTAATGACTGCATATCATTTCTCTCCGCTTCACTGAAGGAGCCATCTTGCATGTTTCACACAGTTGTGGTACACAAAGGGTTAAGCGTATCGGTGCGGTAGGACTTCCACTCGTCTAACAAGTCCAGTGACACGGATGACTTTGTTTGTTTCACAGTATCGCATGAGAATAACCATAACTTCACTAGCATACTGTACATACCACCCTGGGCAATGTGTATTAAAGAAACGTGTGCATTTCTGTCCTACCACTGCGATAATTAGAAAATTATTTTATCACCCATGTGAAAATGATCTTACACGATCATTACACAAAACGAATGTCGCTTTGCACGGGAAGAATGAACATGTTCAACTCTACACATCAGGATGCTACAGCGGACTTGAACACCCCTCCTAACCAGGGACTGACGAGGTCGGGCTGCTTCTGTCACCCACGTGAAAACAAACCCCGCGGGCATTCGTGTGGCAACAGGGCGGCCCACGCTGACCAACGAGGAGAAACAAAGAGCGTCAAATCAGATCTGGAACGACTGTGGAACGGTTAAAAAAAAAGATGGCTGATCTCTAGACTAACTCAGAAGATCCGCTTTTTGTGCAAAGCGCCCTTGCCAATATTATCCAGTGGGCTCTCTGCCTCTGTATCCTTTCTCACTCTGCTCCCTTGCTACTACAGGACTGGTGGCAGTGCTGGTCACCTTTCGAGTGTCTTGCATTTTTAAACCGACAGCATCCGAACATTCAAAAACAACGATAGTTTACTTGACTTCATACCCATTGCAGAATGTCAGTGTTCTGTTTCATGATATTGAAAAAGCACTGCAGTTCACACACACACACATACACACACATCATTCAAACACACGACACCTTTGATAACCATTGCGTCGCTGGAACCCAAGCCTCCTTACCTGTGGGTTTCATGTAATACTGCTCGATATCAGACATGTCCGTGTGCAGAGCGCAATCGAGATAGCTGAGGATAACTTTCCTACTGAAGTAGTAGCGCACAGCCATTAGAATGAATGGCGCGCAGCAGGTCAACACCAGGGACTTGGTCAGAACAAAGCACATTACTATGGAGATAAGGGAGAAAAATAAACGATACCTGTCAGAAAAGAGAATCACATGTTGATTTCGGAGGAAGAAAACCCAGTGAGCAAACACACAGCAAACATTAAAAGGTTTACAAGAAGAACATAGCCAACGCTGAATTGTTCATCATTTAAATACAATAAAACACAAAAGTTGTACAGTAACAGTGTGCTGCTGAACACCAGCTTGTGTTAGACTGCCTAGCAAGGCTACCCTTATTGAGCACTCAGACGCATGCACGTTGTACAAACAGAGGTCACTTCATGTTCTGAAAGCGGGGTGTCAGCGCTGTGACGGTTTCGGTATACTTCTCCCTCGCCAGCGCACGGGGGCGCCCGCGGTGGACAAGGGGAAATGCGCGGCGCTGCGTGTTTGCTGCTCTCCTGTAGGCGGCACCGCGGGATTCGGGGCTCTGCTCACTGCGGTGTTGGGCTCGTGTCAGTGTTAGGCGGCTGCGGCTGTAGGCTGTCTGCTGTCAAGACTATTTACTCCGTGTGAGAGTTTGCGCGTCTAGACGCGTTTTTAGAAAATGCACCTTATGGGGGGGGGGGTAGACTAAAACTAAAAACATGGGATTCGTGTATTCAGGGGGATGTAAATCTCATGGTCATGATTACTTACCACGTGATACTTGACGGGGAAAAACGAAAATGACATTTCGCAGCACGTTACACGCATGTGAATATGCGTTAATAGTGCTGCTCCCCGTGCGGCGCCGCGTCGTTATCGCTCGTGTACAACGCAGTGCGCGCCTCCCGCACTAACCAGGCAGGCTCGCGGCAGAGCCCGGCTGCACGAGGGAACCTGCAGCAGTCTTTGCAATCGCGCACGAGCCGCAGGCAGGCGCCGGCAGACAGCCCCTGCCTTTGCAGCAAAAGCGTCGTGCGCGTGCAGCCAGACGAGGGGAGGGGTAGGACGATGACGGCAAGTGGTACTGCCGGAGCGAGCGCGCGCCCCGTGGGCAGATCCCGAGGTTCATTCATTCAAGCGTCCATCCGGCATAGTACACACACCGCACACAGTCACTGCCCGCAAGGCGGCCCCCGTCCGCGCTACACGCGTGCAGCCTGCGCAGGCAAACATGCTCGAGCCGGGGGGACCCCCTTCTCCGGGCGCCTCGCCCCGCGTTCTCACAATCCCAGCTGCTGGGGCACCGCGCACCTCGGGTGCGTGTCCGCTACGGACGCCGTTCCCTCTCAATACGAAAGCCAAGAGCAGAATCCCAAATATTAAGAAAGGTGCGTCTGCTTCTCTTCAACCATCTTCGACGGCCAAGAGGAGGTTTTTTTTTTTGCCATGCAAATAACAGCGCGTACACACCGTGCAACGATTTCCCCCCAGCGAAAAGCGAAATATCATCCCCTCGATGTTTTGACAATTCGATTAAAAAAATACATAGTGATTTCACTAGAACTGTGTGTTACATTATCACTCCGCAATGTCAAACGCGAGCCACCCGCCGCCACAGACGCGCGCCACTTACTTGTTATAAACGCGTACAGAATTTGCGTTTTGGTTTGATGTTTTAACCCTCGAAAAGCCGTATTGGGTATTCTCTCCATTATCCCCTCATAAAAGATGCGTCGGACCTCCCCCTCGTCAGAGCTCTCAAACTCGCGGATAAACACGAGATCTTTTTTCACGCTGTCCTCGAGGGTATTCGGAGACGAGGACGAAGTCCACATTCGCGAGGAGGAAACGATCCTGGAATCTGTCTTGGTTCCAGGTATGGAGTCATGTTCGTCCGCAACAATTTTAGTCTCGCAAACCATTTTGGGAGACAGACAATGCATGCAACTGGCGTCTAAAAAACGTGCGGAGTGGGAAAAAAAAAATAACGAAGGCGATTTATTAGGAAAACAAAAAAAAGCAATACAGTGCTGCAACCCTGGGCTATTTTACGCGACCAAGAGAAAGCGCTGCATTTTAAGCAGTATTTATAAAGAGGCATGAGAGCTGCATTCAGATTCTGGGGCCGGCGTGTCCGAGGATCTTGGAGATTGGCTACACTAGACCACCACGTGATATCGATAGGAGGAGAAAAGCACTGGAAAAGAGCGAAACCACCCATTTTCTTTTTTTTAAATCTTATTTTCATTTCAGATAAATTACTAAGGTATTTCCTCGTACTTTTATGTATGTCAAATGACGCTACCTGGTCTTTACATAGGTTGTTGGGTTTTTTTTTTGTGTGTGTGCCAGTAACACGCGTCATCCCCTTCAGTGGTACTGAACCATAGCGGGATGACCCCCTGTGATTTTAAACACGGATTCCTGCACTTTCGTCAAGGAAACTGCGCGTACACATGTAATAAATGCTTGAACCATGACTAAGCTCAAGTACTGTTGGTGAATGGCGAGCGGCGGTATGAATAATTGTTGATATCATCGTTTCTTGAATAAAACAACGAGTCTTGTATCCGTCGCGTATCCTCCGTGCTATTGTGTCGGTGTCATACGTGCTGCAGTGCGGTATTATTCCTCATTTGGTTGTATTAACCTCTCCCTGACGTTATTGGGATGAATTGTAAAATTAGGGGTTAAACAAAGCAGATACGTATGTTCAAATCTGTCCCTTTTTTTAATTGTTGTGTAAGACGTGGCTGTGCATCATGGTCTTAGTTCGATGGCGTTTAATTTCATTGCGTGGTGCGGGAATGTTTCTTTTATACTGATGTAGGATCACTTCGGTGTCTTGGCTGCTACAACAGTAGCGGTGAGATGCCAGCCGAGACCGTCTACCTCTAGATTAAAGAATAGCCGGTGTGTTTTCTCCATCACTGCACTTTATCGAGGCACTTTCCTCATGCAATCCTTCCTCCTCACTTTCTTCTAGTATCTGCGGGTACTTCATGCCTGATCTCCTTTATATGAGCAGGAATGGGAAACCTGGGGTGGTCTAAGCACTGGAAATAAAACCATTCTCAAAAATCGGATGGACATTTCAGGACGCGCAAGTACAAATTCGCCACACCGCTGCCCTGGATTGATGAACAAAACGAGCCTCTGTTCCGCTCGTTCACGGTCAGAGTCTGGTTGTGTCCTTTGTACTGAAGCCGGGCGGGCGGTTTGTCTTTGTACAGAACTAGTTCAGACTGGTTCAAGAAAGAGAGAGGGAGGCAGGGAGACGGGGAGAGGGAGGGAGAGAGAGAGAACTCGATCTGACTGTGTTCCTGGATGTGCTGCCTGCATATACGCAGTGCCGGTTGGCGGGGTGTTATGTGAATCCGGAGGTATTGAAATCCCTGGATTGTGCACTATTCTACACCTGGGGGGGTATTGCAGTACCGGGGCTCGCAATCGAAGTCTCCGCTCTCCTGTTTCGCAGCATCAGCCACCTGCGGCTGGGTCGGGCCGCCTGCGAGAGGACATACTGTAGCTGCACTAAGCGCGGGTGGGGGTTGCTAAAGGTATTGCAAGCTTAATTGGGAGGGGGGAGGGCGTATGACCCGGGCTAATTAAAGACGGATCAATTCCCTATTTAATGCATGTATTTCTAAAACAAAATACAACCACACGCGTACGTCCCGTGTGGTGTCGTCTGAGCCACAACGCCATGCGAGCAAAAGATACACTTCCTAAGTGTAGCGGGTTAATTACGTGGGGGTGGAAATGCAGGCATAAGCATCTGGCTAGTCTGATCGCTCGCTGCTTTAAAAACAGTCCACACACCGCGACTTGTACCGCTGGTTAAATCAAACGTCTCCATTAAACCGCCCCAAACGAGCGCAGACAGAGAGAAGCGGACCTTGCCAAATAGGACTGCAGCGATTTAAGAGACGCTGGCTGCCTGCTCTATCCTTCCCGACCGTGTTTACCGGTCTGCGTTTCACTTGAGCTCTTAATCTATTTAGCTAATTCATCCCGGATGGACTGCTAAGGCTTTTCCAGATCTGAAGGTCTTAGGTGGGGTTAGTCATCAGAATGGGACCCGGGCCAGTTTTGTCTGTTTCACACCTCTAACCCCCGTTTATCTGAGTGGGCTTCAGGAGTGGCTCAGCGACCCTCGCCGTGGCGTTCCCCACGGAGTCCAGACACAAGGGCTCGGTCACCTGTTACAAGCGGTTTAAACGGGAATGTGGAAACTAGCTCTTCACAAGCGAGCGCAGGCTCCTTGCTGCATTAACCTCGCGATAACACGCCTGCAGCGGGGGCATCTGAAGCCGGGGACTGCGCGCCAGGAGAGCGGGAGAAAAGAGCTGGGACAGCTCTCTCCTAAGGAAGCGCTCCAGTCACAGTTAGTGGCCTCACAATTCGCCACGTCCGAATGTCACTTCGACCTCATTTTCCTTCCGGTTTTAAAAACTAAATAGTACAATTAAAGCTGGAATTCGCAAAAGGGAATACAATAACTTCGAAAAGATTGTAAGAAGAAGACCCAGCGAATTCTAATTAAAATAGGATTTCCCGTTAGATCGAACACTATTCGCTGTAGCGTGACATCAGACGGCAGTAGGAATTTGATTTCTGTCCCGGGGATGTGGTCGTTTTGAAGCCTTTTCTGGGCGCAGTGGGCTCGGGTCACGTCGCACGAAGCGAACCGCAGCTCCAGTCAGCTCTCGGGAGCCGGGAGATCAGTCCGTGAGCTTCAGTGGCCCCGGGAGCTGTCCAGCACTTCAGCACGCAGCTGAAACGGTGCCCCTCAGCGTCGGAAACGCAACGCAACTCGCCTTTGCATCACACAACTCTGCCGTACTGCATATTTCTCTGTATAAAGCGTAGCTACATTGCGTATCCGCACCTTTCAACAGTAAGACCGATACTGTTCAAAACCTCGTCTAGCCTGCCGTGCCCGGAGAACGTTGCTTGTGTTAATTCGTCACACAAGCGAGGAACGTCGTTTTTTTTTCTGTTTAGAGGAAACAAAGCGAAAGAGGTCAGACGAAGTTACAGATGAGACAGATAGACAGGGAGTTTCTTCCTCGCTTTTTAATCAGATTCCTTGTTCACTGTTGGCCAAACTCCGAGGAAGCGCTCAAAATCACGGGTTCACCCAGCAGTCGCCTCGAACCCGTTGCTGAACTAGTCTGACAGGTACTATCGCTCTAAAACACGCCATTAGTAGCGCAGTCACCTTATCGCTGCGACTGTGAGGGATAATTAAGTGAAATCAACGAGAAACGTTGTTTTACACCTGTCGACATTCGCTAACAATATCGCATGGGCATCGAGACACTTAAGATCCGTAAATCCATGTTCTAGAAGAGCAGAATGTGAAGTGACGTAGACGCATACTCCAGTGTTTTGGGGTGTGACGTCATTTGCAAGCAGGGCTCTCGCGTCTCGGGACGCACCGTCATGTCAGGCGTGTCATTTGTGTCCGCCATTATCGTAACCATGCAATCAACGTAGCACGGACGAGCAGGGACCTTCGTACGCATCCCGGAGGGACTTGCCTGGCTTCGCTCTAAGCGCCAGCTGTCAGATCAGCGCTTGTATTTCCTGTTGACTGACACTTGACATGCGTGTGGATTGTACTAATTCTGCCCTGGAACTGCACTCTCTGGGCTTTGCAAACTCTCTTCTCAATTCAACCGGGGAAGAAGTCTCTGACCTTTTCGTCCAGTCTGCCGTGCAGTGGGGCTGCTGGTGGTTAATGACTGCTGTAACATATGGGTCTCCTCCTACAGTATATGTAACCAGAGAAACAAGACTATATGTCCAGTGCTTTGGGTTCCTCTGGGATGAAAAGAGCAGTGAGCAGTTATAGTGACAGTGAAGTTCTGAGACAGGTGCAGGAAGTCTCGAAGGGGTGAGGCTATCGTCTCACTATACCAGCCTGCCTGCAGAGTGTCCCACAGTGTCCACAGGACAGGTGGCATCAGCTGGAGAGGCAGCACTTACCCGCACGACTGCCAGGCTAGCAGCCCTGCCTGGCACAGTGACCCCACACACGAGCGGCTAACGACAGAGCCCAGACCGGTGCTGTCCGGACTCTGGAGCTCGCCCTGCATTCTGATGAGTGCGTCTGTTCTGGTCTAGGCTCCTGGCAGTCTTTTAATGTGCTGGTGAACTGCGTAGTGCTATTCTGTTTAAATAATAAGTTCACACAGGAGAAGGCTACTCAATTTGTCAGGCTTATTTGGTCATTAAGCGGCTAAGTGAATATCACTTGGCTGGGAAGTCCATTCCAGACACCCAAAATTCTTTGTGTAAGGCAGTTTTCCCCATACTTCTTCCTAAAGAGATTCCATTTCAATTTCCAGCTGTGACCTTGTCGCACTGCTGAGTTTAATGTCGACCTCCGAAGTGACCCTGTTCGTACCCCTAAGGATATCGCGGAGGGGTGGCACTGTGGCTAAGGATCTGTGCCTGTGGCTGGAAGGTTGCTGGTTCAAATCCTGTGGCTGGCAGAGGTATCCTGCTCTGTTGGGCCCCTGAGCAAGGCCCTTCACCCCAAGTTCTCCAGGGGTACCATATAAATGGCTGACCCTGCACTCTGACCCCAAGCTTCTCTCCCTGTCTGTGTGTCTCATGGAGAGCAAGCTGGGGTATGCGAAAAGACAAATTCCTAATACAAGAAATTGAGCCACATCATTGAATTTTGGGCTCCTTTACACTCTCTGCCCCCAGTGTTTTATGTGTCAGTTTGAAAACCTGTTTTTGCTTCAGTCAATTCGCCAGTTCGCCCGGCTGCTCAGGCACATTAATGGTTTCAGATTTGTACAAATACTGACTGAACTTTTCAAAGAGTAACTGTCTACCAATGAAGAAGAAGCCAGGATTTTTTTTATGCAAGGCTGTGCTACATCAGTGACTCACAGATAGAGGTCCGCTACCCGATCTGAACCTGACGGAGCCTGACAAAGTATCGGGTTTCGGGTGGGGTTCGGGGTCGGTTTGTCTCGTACAACTTTGGGCTGGGGCCGGTTTTGGGTTTGTTTTCTAATAAGTGAAAAGTTAATTATTATTATTAATTTATGTTTCAAATTAAAATTTGTAACTCATTTTGTGCTAGCTCTCTCTCTCTCTCTCATACGTGTGTAGCGCATAGCAGCCGAGCAAAGCAGTATAAAACCACGTCTGTGAGAATCTGTCTCCGTGCGTGCACGTGTGTCCACTCGCTCTGAGAGGAAAAGAGATAGACCGATGTCGGTTTCGGGTTTCAAATTTGGCAGTACCATTCAGGCTCGGTCGGGTCGGGTCTCAAGGTCTCGGGCACAGGCCGGGTTCGGGCTTCAATTTCAGGCCCATGCAGAGCTCGACTCACAGCCCCCCCAGCACCTTGATCTTGCGAGCAGGATCGTGTGGTGATTGAGGTTTACAGGAATGCTCTCTGTGTGGCTGGCTGAGTGGCAGAACCTGTCGTTAGTCTCATCTTATCCTCTAATTACCGGCTCCTCACCT